ACCAGCAGTTATTTAAAAAAATTTTTTTTAACATTTATTTTTGAGAGACAGAGCGATGCAGAGTACAAGTGGGGAAGGGGCCAAGAGGGGTGGGGGGAGGGACACAGAATCCAAAGCAGGTCCAGGCTCTGAGCTGTCAGCACAGAGCCTGACACAGGGCTCGAACTCAAGGACCTCGAGATCATGACCTGAGGTGAAGTTAGACGCCCAACTGACTGAGCCACCCAGGCACCCCTCCCTACCAGCAGTTCTAATCATCAGAAACTTTTGCCAGACACTGGCCCTACTTTTACCCTCTGCTTACAAAAGACAGAGGAACACTAGTCTCCTGAAAGCTTCTTATGTGCTTAAGACAGCCCTTGAATTTCCTCTAAGTCATCTCCATACTTCACTCAACATCCTCAGTTCTCTGATATGTTCAGTTTAAAGTCCCTGAAACCCCAATTTGTCAGAGCCTTTCTCGAAGTATGGGACCAGAGTGTGGGTAGAACAGGGCTACCATTAGTGTGTCCTTCATTCTAGACTGTAGTTTTTTAATACAACCTAAGGTCACGGTAGCTTTATTGGCAGACGTATCATCCCATGATCTCAAAGAATTTGTTGACAGAGATCCTGTATTGGAGGAGTTCAGATCTAGTTGAGCACAAAAGTACGAGGTTTGCAAGTGCTAAATTATATGATATAGACAGGAAACAACCTTCACAAGCTAGCAGGGAACCTGAGAGGGCCAGATGGGATTCCTTTTAAAACTGGTTCGGGTTAGCTATGCAGAAAGAGGACAGGGGTTCGACCTGCATGGGTGGAGGTTATTACAGCCATGTTGGGCAGCTGTTTATGCATTTCTGTATTTCTCATCTCACACTTGTTTCCTTGTGAGTGACATATTGTAAGCATCAACTATTTGACCTACATTTTTCCAGTTCTTCCTCTTTGATGATGCACAGAATCTGAAATGAAGCCCAATGGCCTAACCATGCTTTTGAAATGAAAGGAAGGGACATTTGGTTTGTAGATCTCCCCCCGCCCCCACCCGGGTCTAAAAGTCACTCTTTTTTTTTTTTTTTTTTTTTTTTTTTTTTTTAATTTTTTTTTCAACGTTTATTTATTTTTGGGACAGAGAGAGACAGAGCATGAACGGGGGAGGGGCAGAGAGAGAGGGAGACACAGAATCGGAAACAGGCTCCAGGCTCTGAGCCATCAGCCCAGAGCCCGACGCGGGGCTCGAACCCACGGACCGCGAGATCGTGACCTGGCTGAAGTCGGACGCTTAACCGACTGCGCCACCCAGGCGCCCCTAAAAGTCACTCTTTAACTTCTCACTATTAGAAGTTTTTGAAGATTGAGTCATTGTTTCCCAAGCACTTTGAAGTTTAAATGCACTCAGTACATTTTACAGTATAGCATACTAGACCAATAATCACTTTTACTTCCTGCTTTGAAGTTTTAGTGACAGGTTAGACAAACATTGGTAGAGGAAGGACTCCAGTACTTAATTAAAGTTGCTGGCCCTGATGGAAAAGTTTCCTGGTTAAGAGATAGTGGCCAAACTGTCACACACAGACCCACAGGCACATAGGCCCTCTGGCCTGGAAGGAAGGGGGCACCAGAACTTACTTACCCTCATTAGATACTTCTACTTGGTTCTGGATCATCTCTGGCTCATCCTGTACCCAGATTAAGTTTAGGGCGATTTTCCTCCTTGATGCTATGACTTTCCCACTTAAGACTCTCTGTGGCTCCCATCACCCACAGGGCATACCACAGACCCTGAAGCACTGAGTGCAGGGCCTTTGCACTATCTGCCCTTCTAGTTCCATCTTCTGCCCCTTCCCTTCCCTTTAGTCAGTCTAGACTACTTTTTCAGACTTATGATTTATTGATTGAGGTAATGCCTCTGTTGGGAATTATGTCTCTGTCAGCAGCTATCAGATTGTGTTCATGCTGAGGGTGACTGTGATGTTGTGGTCCTTGTACATTGTCAGAAGAGTTCTTATATATTCAGCTCTCCTCTGCGTGGCTCTGAGTGCCCTGGAAACAGGGACAGAGTTGTGTCTAGTTTTCCACACCCAGGGTCTAGTACAGGGTTGCTTCCATGGTGAGGGATAGTATGGCTGGTATCCCTGGCTTGGAGGCAGAGTTGAAATCTGATTTCAGCTTTGTGTTTATGAGCCGTGGACTTTAGGGTTGTTACTTAATCAGAGCATGCTTATCAGTTATGAAGAATGAGATAATATGTGTGAAAAGAAGGGCTGCGTTGTTATTAGTAGCACTAATTACAAGAGGGCCTGGCCACAACGCCACCTCCTCTCCAGAGTTTTCTCCTGATGTGATTACAGGTGGCGCCTCCCCCTCAGGAGCCCTGTGGGACCCAGCTGGCCATGCTGGTCGGCCCTCATTATCTGCCGCCACAGGTTCCACTTAGCTGTCTGCTGATCTTATCTCCCCTTCCAGATTAAGAGCACCTTGGGAACAGAGCAAGAATGGCGCCTTGCGTTGGCAGGGTGTGCCCTCTCTCACCTTAACCCAGTAGTTCTCGATCGGGGATGATGTTGCCCCTCAGCAGATGTTGGCTGTGCTGGGTGGGAGAGCAATGCTTACTGGCATCTGCTGGATGCTGCTAAATCCTACAGTGCACAGGACCGTCCCACGGCACAGATCTATCCTGTACAAACTGCCAATAGTGCCGAAGTTGAGAAACCCCACCTTAGCCAAGAATCGTGCCAGGTGCACATGTAGTAGTGGATTGTGTGTGACGCATTTCCAAATACTGGAAATCTTGGATCATGGGACCCGAGTTGTAATTCAGTTCCTTAGAGTGAAATGAAATTGTAGCTAATATTAACTAACCAAGCTTCGCTTGACCAAACACTGTGCTCACCTCTCTGCCTGTGGTGGGTCATCCTCAGCACCAGCCTACCAGATAGGTTCTGTTTATTGCCCTACCTTTACAGTCATGGAGGCTGAGGTGTGGAGAGATCAAGTAACTTGCCCAAGTTCACAAAGTAGCAAGGGTAGGGGGATTTGAACCTGGATGTCTTGATCTTCCAAACCTCAACTCTTGACTGCCCTGCCATGGGTTATACTCCAGAAGTGATGTAAAGGCATCACAAGCTACTAGTAAGAATGTAGGACTATGAAGCTAGAAGTTCCTCTGCTTTTTGTTCCATCTTCCAGAAGTAGTCACTGGCTTAATTATTGAAATAACAGGGACACATGGGCTTATCTACTGTACATAATAATAATAATAATAATAATAATAATAATAATGGCAGCCAGTATTTTAAGTGCTTACTGTGTACCTCTCTTCTTGCTAAGCACTTTATAGGCATTATCTTATTCACTTTGCATAACAACTCTATGAAATAGATATTACTATTCGTGTCACCCTCATTTTACAGATGAGGAAATCAAGGCATAGAGAAGTCAAGATGACTGAGGTCCTGGTCCTGGTAAAGATGGGGTGAAAGCGTTGTGACCCTCAACTCTGTGCCCTTAACTACCATATAACTTGCTTTCTGTGTTGAATGTTTGACAGTAACTTGATGGTTACTTTTTATTTATTTTTTTTAATTTTTTTTTTCAACATTTATTTATTTTTGGGACAGAGAGAGACACAGCATGAACGGGGGAGGGGCAGAGAGAGAGGGAGACACAGAATCGGAAACAGGCTCCAGGCTCTGAGCCATCAGCCCAGAGCCCGACGCGGGGCTCGAACCCACGGACCGCGAGATCGTGACCTGGCTGAAGTCGGACGCTTAACCGACTGCGCCACCCAGGCACCCCTGTTACTTTTTATTTTAAATAGATTCAGAATTCTGAATCACAGTGGATAAAATTAACCAGTAATTTGTGACACAGCACCTGAAAGTGTAAACCTAAGGAATTTTTAGACTTTATTAAGCTCCTTTCCACTATGTGATGTTGCAAGCCAGCCCTTTTCAGCAGAGCAGGAAAATGATTAATTTCAAAGAACAATTAACTATGGAATCAGGAGATTCCCAGAAATAAGGACACATTTAGGATTTGGGGAGAATGGGCAACACCAAAGGACAAACTCTGGGCTTGGGATGCTGTGAAGTTCTAGAAGAGATACAGAAGTGTTCCTTGTGTCGCGAACCTTCTCATGCCCTGTGCCAGCCCCGCGACCTGCCTCTGGCATTGCCAGTAGAGTTTATCTCCAACTATTGGAACCGCCCCCACCCCATGTAATTCAGTTTATGTGATGGACTTTAGTGGGAATCAGGCCATTGGTGCCAAAACGTGTGTCTAACAGAAATAAGAAATATCTATAATTGCCTTAGAACTATAAAGAAGCTTGATACAGTATATTACTTTACAAACTATATAAGCTAGTAAAGCCTAGGAATAAAAAAAAAACTTAATTATTACACTTGAAATTACAAGAAGTAAACAATTCAGCATGTTTAAGAAATGACACTTTCCCTAAATTTTTTTCTAACCCGCCACCCGCTTCTCTCTCATCAAAATACTTTTTTCAGGTGAAAGACCAAAAAAACCAATTCCTCTTCAGGATCAGACTGTCAGAGACGAAAAAGGAAGGTATAAACGGTTTCATGGCGCCTTTAGCGGAGGTTTTTCTGCTGGGTACTTCAACACTGTTGGCTCGAAAGAAGGTATGATTTTCCTACGTGTAGCTATCATATCACATCATATCACTGAACTATCATAAGATTCTCCTCCTCTTCCACCTCTCCCTTTTTAAAAAAAACTTCTTTAAACACTTTAATACACACACTGTAGCCTTTTGTGTTCTTTCAAGATTTGGCAGGTTTTCAGAGTCCGCTGGTATGTTGTTCATTGGTTACAACCTGAGAGTGAAAGTTTTCTTTCACTTAAAAAAAAAAAAAAAGATATATTCTCACCAGATGGTTAAGTGACGATAATGACTTCCGTTTTATACCATCGCATCTTGCCACACACAAAATGCTGTCATACACATTCCCTCAGGTAACCATTGTCTCCCGCGTCTCAGTGACTGAGGAAGGCAGGTGTCATAGTTGCTTTGTAGGTGAGGCCACTGAGGGTCAGAGCCGCTCTCTCCTGGCACTGGGGACCACAGCATGCTTGTCAGTCTATGCTCTCAACCTGAGGAAAAATCAGTTAAAAATTTCATGTTATGCAATATAATGGATTCTGCATTGTTTAAAGTCATGTATGTTTTTTAAATGTTTTCACACAGAAACTGGAATGACTTTTATGTGCCAGATAGGAAGGGAAGAAGAACTGAGTAACTCATGTAGCAATTGTTGAGAACAAAATGGGACACGTTTTTATATATACACAATAACTTGTATGGAACAATAGTAAAACAAAGATGAGAAAAGCCATGTAAGAAATAGTTGGGGTAGGTCAATAAGATGGTTTAAAGTTCAATATCCAGAATGTGTAAAGAGCAGTTCCATGAGCAAATGACCAAAGTATCTGAACAGTTTACTCCAGAGGAGATAGAAATGCTGTATTTAATATTCAGCCTTGTTACTAAGAAAGGCAAAGTAAGGTAACCAAGGCACTATGAAATTAGCACACTTTATTAAAATGTTAAAAGTGGCAGTAGGGTTGGTGAAGAAAGAAGTACACTAATACGTTGCTGATTGTTGCGATTATAGCTGTGCCGTGTACTGTAATAAGACCAGCTCAAACGATTGTCAGGAAGACTGTGATACGTTCATACCCTGGAGTGTCTCTTTACCATTAGAAGGACTATACAGAAATCGGGCAAAGACTATAGAAATCCAAAGTGGAGGAAGGCAGTGGCCTAGGAGAGCTGATCCTCACTCCCGGATACCTGGGGGTATCTCCCAGGCCTGCCCAGAAACCTGCTCCACCCACTGACCAAGAGTAGATCTGCCCCATACTCCTTAGGTCCACAGGACTCTTGTAGGAAATCAGGAAGGAGGTGTGTCCCTCTCAGAGAAAACTACAAAAGTGTATCGCAGAGGGTTACAGATACATTTGACCTCCAGGCCATTCTCACCGTATAGGCATGGTACATGCTTGGTGACTATGGACAGGGAACCGGCGTGGTAGTTATAGGACCCAGGGGTTTGATGGAATTGGGGGTGGTATGGACATTACCTGTCCTTAGACTGGCCAGGTTGAGCCCTTGGGCCAGGGCACCCTGAATTTGCCTGCGCTGCTTCTGTGACTTGGTGCCAGCCACCCTTCCACAGCTGACTCATGCCCCTTGATGTTATGTCTTCATATGTTAACAAGTTGGTGTCTGTTGCTGTCCTCTTGGTCTCAGAGTGGTCCTGCCTTTTAAGGTGACCTTGCATCTTTTGGTTCACATCTACTTGGAAAAAGAATGTCACTTTCTTCTCTCTCTCTCTTTTTTATTTGAAAAAAAATTTTTTTAATGTTTATTTATTTTTGAGAGAGAGAGAGTGAGACAGAGAGTGAGCGGGGGAGGAGCAGAGAGAGAGAGGGAGACACAGAATCGGAAGCAAGCTCCAGGCTCTGAGCTGTCAGCACAGAGCCCGATGCAGGGCTCGAACCACGAACCGTGAGAACATGACTGGAGCCGAAGTCGGATGCCTAACCGACTGAGCCACCCAGGCGCCCCTCTCTCTCTGTTTTTTTTTAGAGAGAGAATGAGGGAGTGGGGGAGGGGCAGAGAGAGAGGGAGAGAGAATCTTAAGCAGGCTGCATGCCCAGCGCAGAGCCCAACTCTGGGCTTGATTTCACGATCATGAGATCATAATTTGAGCTGAAATCAAGAGTCAGATGCTTAGCCAACTGAGCCACCTGCGCACCCCATCTCCACTTTTACTGTATAATTTGATTTCTCTTGGTCCTAGATTCTTAGGAGGAAACCTATCCACTGAGTTCTGCCAAGAGATGTGAGCATTAATAAAGTTATGTTGTATAATTATCTCTACATGAGCAGTGAGATAGGAAGTAGCTAAGGGTTTGTAGGTACTGGGGGTTTCAAGTACATAATTGCATTATTTAATTATTTAGTAATAAACCAACATACCATCTATTATAATATTCTAAACGCTTTTCTTTCAAGGATGGACACCCTCTTCCTTCGTGTCTTCACGACAGAACAGAGCAGACAAATCTGTTCTTGGTCCCGAAGACTTCATGGATGAAGAGGTGGGTGTGCAGAACCGGAATTGCCTGTTAGCCAGTGGGATGCGTGCAGCGCCTTAGTCTCCCCAGAGGGTTCAGTGTACGAAGGCTTCTTTGTTTGCGAGGCATTATCTTTTAGGAGTTTGGACTAGAGTGCTCTGTACCTCAATGCATTCTTGTTCACTGGAGTAGCATCTTATGCTGGGGCCAGTTTCTAAAGTCAAGGGTGGAGAGGAAAGTCGTTCATAGGCAAATTTCCTTGAAGAGGCCCCAGTTGCCCCAAAAGCGCAGTATCCACGGAGCTGAGTCCACAGCCTCCGACAGTAACTTTGTGCACACTACTGTTTAAGGAACGGTGAGCGACTAGACCAGTTAGGAGTCAAAGGGAGCCCTGTGCAGGCACCTGGGTACCTCATTAACACAACGATGACTGTGCACTTCTTAGGGGTAAATGGGAGCTGGGGGGGGTGTGCTCCATATTTTTTTAAAAAATGTTTATTTATTTGTTTTGAGAGAGAGATACAGCATGAGCAAGGGAGGGACAGAGAGAGGGGGAGGCAGAGAATCCCAAACAGGCTCTGCATTGCCAGCGCAGAACCTGATGCAGGGCTCGAACTCCTCGTCCTCGAGATCATGACCTGAGCCAACAGCAAGAGTCGGAAGCTTAACCAACTGAGTCACCCAGGAACCCCATGCTCCATTTTGCTTTAAAATTAAACCTCTGTTTCCTTAAAACCTAGTCATGGATTCATTTGTGATAAAGAAGAAATAGAACACTATATTAACATCCTTTAGGTTGCAGGTAAGAGGCAAGGGGAGGTCCCCTTCCTATTTGATTAGCATAATCTATATGGAAACATGACTCATGGAACAAGAAGCCTAGATGTCAGCGAGGCCCCGCGTCCTCTCTTCTCAGCCATCTTCTGCATGTCAGCTTGTCCTTACATCAGCTCTCCTTGTGGTCCCAAGGTGGCTACAGTAGCTCCAGATGGCGCATCCAGGATCACATCACCTAGTGGAAGGAGGGCTTTTCTTTGGTATCTTTTCTTGAGAGCAAGGAAACCATTCCCATAAGTCCTACCGGGGATTTTACCTCACGTCTGCTGGGGCAGATTGTTTTACGTGCTCATTCTTAAAGCCATCCTTGGCAGTGGAAGTGGGATCAAAGGACTGGCTTAGATAAGATACGAACCCCTATTGCCTAACTCTCCCCGGGCCCCAGCATACGCACCAGGACACCACTGCGGGAGTGCATGGTGGCACCGAGGGGGGCCGGTGTCTGCACAGCTTCAGGACTCTGTGAGGAAAGAGGGAGGGCATAGGCTATCGGAAAGGCAGCCAACAGGAAATGCAGAAACACTTAAGGTAGCACGTACATGCTCAGGAATGCTTGCTGTGACTCTGAGATTTGCCCCCTGCACTCTGACCTTTGAAATATTGTCTGAGGCAACAGTTACTTTCCGTAGAAGTAATTATTGGATTTTAATTACTTCTTATCTTCCTAGCTTGGCTGTGCCTCTTGTGGCCTCACTGAGCGGCCGTCATCATGCCCTGTCCTTGGCTACCGGCCTTAGCTTTTGTGAGGATCCTAAAGGCAGATATAAAGTCAGCTGCTCCACACACACATGCAAACACACACACGCACACACATAAGTCAGCTGCTCCACTGATGCCTAATTTGGTTGTGTAGTTTTTTTGTTTGTTTTTTAAAGTTTTTACGTATTCATTTATTTAAGTAATCTCTGTACCCAACATGGGGCTCAAACTCACAACCCCGAGATCAGAGTTGCGTGCTTTTCTGACTGAGCAAGGCAGGCATCCCATCAGTTGTGTGGTTTTAACTTTTTTTTTTTTTTTTTTTTTTTTTTAAGAAATAAAGCTACGTGATGTATTATGGTTAATCACTTACCAAATAATGTAAGTAATTCTGTTTGAATTTTCTTTTAAAGGATCTTAGTGAATTTGGGATAGCACCTAAAGCAATTGTCACCACGGATGATTTTGCTTCCAAAACCAAAGATAGAATACGAGAAAAGGCCAGGCAGTTAGCAGCTGCTACTGCCCCCATTCCTGGAGCTACTCTGCTTGATGACCTCATAACACCAGCAAAGTGAGAAGAATTTTGTTCTAACTTTTGTGATCTTGGCATCTGCTTTGCATATACATAATGATCTTAATTACAGATAGTTTGGTTGCAAGTAGGAGAAGCCTAGCTTAAGTGCAAAAGGGGGTTTTGCCAAAAGGATCTTGCGCTTTTATTGCATGGCGTATTCTAGAGCTCCAGTGACCAGCTCTGCTGCTGGGGCTGGTGGAGGCTGGTGAGCTGTTAGGAACTCGGGTGCCTTCCCTCCCACCCTCCCTCAGAAGCCTCAAGGGCTCTCTTCGGTCTGCCTCATTCTTCCCTCTCTTTCTGCATATCTCCTTGTTCTGTTCCTGGGTGTGTGGCCTGATGTGGCAGCCTCAGACTCATGGTTTCTTAGGCCCCAGGCTTGACAAGGACCATTTAGATCCCCCAGGTGTCCATTCCAAAGGCCCAGCAGAGAGGACACGGATGGACTTCCCCAGGTTCGGTGTGCACCCACGTCCAGTGAGCTGTGGCCAGAACGGCAGGTCCATGTGGTTCTGATGTGCATGGGGGTGGGCTGTGTTTCAGGGCTCAGGCACAAGTGTGTGAGCTGGACAGGGACTCAAAGACTGCTGATTTCTTACTATCCTCCAGTATTATAAAAGGAAGTTCACGTTCAATGCCTTGATATCCTAGATTATCTATTGGTTTTGAATTGCTAAGAAAAATGGGCTGGAAGGAAGGACAAGGAATTGGCCCTCGAGTAAAGAGAAGACCTCGCCGACAAAAGCCTGGTATGTATATTGATTGTCATCAATTCTGTAGCACACTTTTTAATGGCTACACGTTTCGGGAAATGAAGCTGCCGGCAAAGTAATATGCAGATACAGTTGACTCTTTTTTTTTTTTTAATTTTTTTTTAACGTTTATTTATTTTTGAGACAGAGAGAGACAGAGCATGAACGGGGGAGGGTCAGAGAGAGAGGGAGACACAGAATCTGAAACAGGCTCCAGGCTCTGAGCAGTCAGCACAGAGCCCGACGCGGGGCTTGAACTCACGGACCGCGAGATCATGACCTGAGCCGAAGTCGGACACTCAACCGACTGAGCCACCCAGGCGCCCCTACAGTTGACTCTTGAACAATGCTAACCCCGCATGCAGTTGAAAATCCATGTGTAACATTTACTTGTTTATTTTCAAGTACAAATTTTATATATATACTTATATAACATACAGTGTTGTATTTCCACATATTACTATTGACTTCCTAAAAACTTATCTGCTTAATAGCCTACTGTTGACCAAGAGCCTCACTGATAACATAAACAGTCAATTAACACATATTTTATATGTTATAGGTATTAAATACTGTATTCTTACAATAAAGTAAGCTAGAGAAGAGAAATTATTATTGAGGAAATCCTAAGGTAAATATATTCACATTAGCTCTACTATAAAAAGTCTGTGTGTAAATGGACCTTTGCAGTTCAAACCTGTGCTGTTTAAGAGTCAACTGTATTTTTTTTTAAATTTGAGTACAGTTGACACACAATGTTACATTAGTTTCAGGTGAGCAGCGCAGTGATTGGACAAGTCCATAGGTTCTGCTGTGCTCACCACAAGAGTAGTGGCCATCTGTCACCATACAGCGCTGTTACAGTACCATTGACTGTATTCCTTGTGCTGTGCCTTTTATCCCTGTGACTTATGCATTCCAGAACTGGAAGCCTATATCGCCCACTTCCCTTCACCCATTTTGCCCATCTCTAAGTCCCCTTCCATCTGGCAACCATCAGTTTGTTCTCTGCATTTATAGGTCTGATTCTGCTATTTGTTTATTCACTTATTTTTTTTTTTCTAGATTCCACATATGAGTGAAATTTGTCTTTCTCAGCCAATACTTAGCACAACATCCTCTAGGTTCATCCATGTCACAAATGACATGATCCCATCCTTCTTATGGCTGTGTAATATTCCATGGGATATTTAACTATACCCCATCTTTCTTATCCACTCATCTATTGATGGATGCTGAGGTTGCTTCTATATCTCGGCTATTGTAAATAATGCTGTAATAAAATAGGGGTGTGTGTATCCTTTCAAATTAGTGTTTTTGTTTTTTCCTTTGGATAAATACCGACTAGTAGAATTTTTAGATCATATGGTATTTTTATTTTTAAATTTTTTTAAGTTCATTTATTTTGAGAGAGAGAGAAAGCGCTGGTGAAGGAGGGGCAGAGAGAGAGAGGGGAGAGCGAGGATCCCAAGCAGGCTTCGCATTGCCAGCACGGAGTCCAATGCGGGGCTTGAATTCACGAATCGGGAGATCATGACCTGAGCGGAGGTTGGACGTTTAACTGACTGAGCCATCCAGGCACCCCTATTTTTAATTTTTTGAGAAACCTCTGTATTGTTTTCCACAGTGGCTCTACCAATTTCCATTCCCAAAAGGTCACCTGTATTTTAAGGCTTTTTGTGTGTCATGCGTAATAGCATTGTACTAGAATTGTACTAGTTTATATTTCTGCTAGCATCATGTGAAACTGTTTCCTACTCTTATCAAAACTGTGTCACAGTTTAATAGGATTCTTTTCTATTTATGTCTTACCCTTGGTCTCCCCAGCCAGAGTACGAACTCTTGGAGGCAGTAATAATTTCCTTTGGGTTCTCTGTGGCCCGGGGACAGTAGTGGTTAGTCACTGAGCACATTATTGACAGAGTGTGGGTGGGGCAGGGGCTGGTGGAAAACAATTCCTGAGTGATCAGTCTCTGACCCTAAAGCCGTAGTACCTTTCATAAGTTCTGTCATGGACTTCTAAAGAATGTCAGCAAGTTAGATTTCCATATTTTTAGCTGCTCATGACTAATGTATTTGACATCTCTTTTATAGATCCTGGAGTAAAAATCTATGGCTGTGCGTTACCCCCTGGAGGCTCTGAAGGATCCGAGGTACTATATGCAAAGGCTGACCTTGAATTTGGTATAGTGACACCTGTTAGTTTATGAACGTGCAATTTTAGGGTCAGAAGAATTTTAGAAATCAGTCAGATCCCATTACGGTGAAATACCCCTACCCTGAAACTGTCTTCATGTCAGAGAATGTATTCAGCAACATGCCCTCACCATACATGTCCAAGGTCTGTTCAGATTCCTGAGTATCAGGGACTCAATTTAGCGATTTGTAATAGTGGAAATGAAAGTTTGGTCATTGGTCTGTTTGGAAGTAGTCATTGGAAAATAGTATTTTATAGGCTTCCTTTGCACCAGTCAGTGACTCACCTCCATTCTCCTTTTTCCTCGTGGTTAAATAGGATGAAGATGATGACTATGTGCCTGAAAATGTGACCTTTGCACCCAAAGACATCACACCTGTGGATTTCACACCTAAAGATAACGTGCATGGACTGGCTTACAAGGGCCTGGATCCCCACCAAGCATTGTTTGGAACTGCGGGAGAACATTTTAATCTTTTCAGTGGGGGACCTGAGGGAGCCAGCAATCTCCTTGGAGAGATTGGGGTGAATAAAGGAAGGAAATTGGGAATTTCAGGCCAGGTAAAAGTTTCTGTTTCATGAACATGGAACCATTGACAAATGAGAACGCTTTCCATATTATACTATATCTATAGCAGTCATTATTCATTGACTATGCGAAGACTTTGAGGTGGTTATGTTTTCTTTACAGCCTTTTCTGAACACGCTTCAAGCACACCTTCCTGATTTTAATAGGTACTGCTGAGATCCTGTGACCTAATGTTCTTTGAAAAAACATTTTTTTTATGTTTATTTATTTTTGAGAGAGAGAGAGAGAGAGAGACAGAGCATGAGCAGGGGAGGGGCAGAGAGAGACACACACACAGAATCTGAAGCAGGCTTCAGGCTCTGAGCTGTCAGCACCGAGCCCAACGCTGGGCTTGATCCCACAAACCCCGAGATCATGACCTGAGCTGAAATTACGAGTCTGATGCTCAACCAATAGCCACCCAGGCATCCCTCCAAATTTTTTTCAAACAAAAAGTAATCCTTGTTGGAGGCCATGTCCACAAAGGTTAGAGGTTCTTACAATAGCTATTTCAATAGTGGTGCCTTGAGAGCCTGGTCACCAGCGCTGGCCCCAGGCCACAATGACCGGAAGGTGAATATTCTGCCTTTCTGCTTTTGGAGGCCCTGTTCTCCTCCTGCACTGATGCTGGGTGTGTTCTCCACGCCTTCCTTCGCTAGGCCCCAGACCTGTAGCTGCTGCTAGGCCTGGAGGACAGTCCCAGCACTGGAGGACAGCATTCACTTCCGGTCACTGTTTCCAAGAGGACTTGAGTGTATGTGTTAATCTGGTCTCCTGCTTCTCCTCTCTTTTGGTGATCTTGCAATGCTAATGTGGTCTGTTCAACCACATCCTTAAAGTAGCTTTATTCTTCAGTGGAGACATGCTCTAAAACCTGTCATTGCTGTTTGAAACCTTGTTTTTGAAGGCTTTTGGTGTTGGTGCCCTGGAAGAGGAAGATGATGACATCTATGCCACAGAAACTTTATCCAAATATGACACCATTTTGAAGGATGAGGAGCCTGGAGATGGACTCTACGGCTGGACAGCACCCAGGCAGTATAAAAGTCAGAAAGGTAATTCCATAGACCCTCAACCAATGGTAGGACCAAATGTCAGCGTATCAGGAAGAAGGGATTGCAGAATTGATAACTGCAGTGTCAGCCTCGGTGGAGTTGGGGGTTGGTGGCCAGAGATGGAGGGTGAGAAACAAAGTGGAGAGAAGAGAGGCCCCGTGTGGGGGGTAAGACAGAAGGTAGACCGGGTCGGAGCCAAAGCCAGCTGTCAAGACAAGGCCAAGGTGGGGAGGAGGAAGAGGTCTGGAATCAGGGAAGGAGCGAGTATGTGGACAGGTGCTCGTGCTACAGGTCAGAGGTGGCACTGGGTCAGAGGGAAGCCCAAGAAACTGGGCAACTGGCCAACATAGACCCAGCAGGTCAGAAGGCCAGGTGCGGGACTTTCGGTGCGGGACCTTCAGCAAGAGGGAGCTTGGTACTGGCACCCAGCCAGTCTCCTCACTTGAGTCCCTGGTTCCTGGAGGGCTCTTGTTGGGCTAGGGAGATGGACATGTCTTAACACAACTTAAATTTCAAGTCAGGGTCTGTAGTGACTCAGATCCTGTGGTTCTTTTTTGTTTTATTTGTTGAGAGAGAGAGGGTGCAAGTGAGTGAGGCACAGAGAGAGAGAAAGAGAGAGAGAGAGAGAGAGAGAGAGAGAGAGAGAAAAGTGGGGCTCACCCAGGGCTCATGTTTTACTTGAAGTGGGGTTTGAGCTCACCTGACGTGGGACTCGAACTCATGAACTGTGAGATCTGTGAGATCATGACCTGAGCTGAAGTCAGATGCTTAACAACTGAGCCACCCAGGCACCTTTAGATCCTGTGGTTCTAAGTAATACTTCAGTTTTTCTTTCCAGAAAAGGTGTAGTGTAGGGAGGAGACAGTTTGGAGCAGATGTTAGTAGCATGTGATTTGGAGTCATCTGACTGGATTTGGATCACAGCTGTCTACTGCCCAGCAGTGGGACATGGGGCAAGACTAGTAACCTCTCTGGGCATCATTTGTAAAGTGAGGATCAGATCCGCCCTGAGGGTCATTGTGAGGATTAAGTGGCATAACTCGGTGTTTGGCATGGTACCTGCCCAAAGACTGAATAAATGGTACCTACTCTTCCCTGGTTATAATAATAACAAGCACCTAAATGAAGTAAGGAGGTGATTGCTGAGATAAAACAGTCTACAGAGACATTTTTAGGTGAAATTTGATCTAATTCCTGTACAACACAGCTGAAACATACATGTTGAAATCTAAACAATCCGAGTATAACTTCCCTAAAGGATGCCTATTTTGCATTTCTGGAAGGAAAAAAAGCAGGCACAAACCAGTTTTTAGAGGTGGTTAGCTTAACGACTGTGAACACAAATTCTGAGACAGGCTGCCTGGATTCCAGCCCTGGCTCTCCCCACTTAGTAGCTGTGGCCTCGGGCATCTTTGCCTGGACAGTGGGCATGACTGTGGCATACCCAAGGAGATTTTAACGTACGTGAAGGGCTTGAGACCTGCCTGGCACACAGCATGCACTCTAAGTGTCAGTGGCGTCTGTCATTATTGCCAAAAAAAGAATCTAGGGTTTTACACAAATGCTGGAAGAGGGTGTGCCCAAATGTTCGTTGACGTCACTTCTTCCTTTTGGTTACCTAGGTTTTCAGAATCTTCTACTAAGACTATGTATTATTTTTATAACTTAAAAAGATGTATGTTAATGTGTTATAATATATTAATATTACAGATTACATTAACATGTTAATTATTGATTATATTGATTATGGCAATATATTGACACAATACTATATGACTAACATTATCAGAATATATTAATTATATAATGATTGCTAATTTATAATACATATTTAGATCTGTCTCCTGGGTCAGATCTTTGGCTTTTCCTTTATACAACACCTTTGTGCTAATTGAATCCTACCCTTCTCCACATCAAGCCTGAGCTGCTGACTTTCCCCGATCCCCCCAGACTCCCCTTATCCCCTCTCTGCCGTGGCGTCCTCATCTCTCCCACCCCTAGACACAACTTTCTATACTTATGACCTTAAGGTTTTTCACTGAGTGAATCTAAATTTAGCCAGTCTTCATGGTTGATTTTTTAATTATTCTTATTTGTTTCCATGATCCATACAGCTATAATAAATATTCTATGGCTCTGTCTTGATGCACAGTTGCGTTTTATTTCTTCAGAATAAATTCACAGAAGTAAAATTGCTGGGCTTTAAATGAATACAAAATGCCAAGAGTGTGAAAGATGTTTTTTGTTTATTTTAATTTAATTTTAATTCCAGTGTAGTTAACAGACAGTGTAATATTAGTTTCAGGTGTACAATACAGTGACTCAACACTTCCATTCATCACCCAGTGCTCATCATGACAGGTGCACTCCTTAATCCTCATCACCTATTTCACCCATCCCTCACCCACCTCCCCTCTGGTAACAATCAGTTTCTTCTCTGTAATTAAGAATCTGTTTCTTTATTTGTCTGTCTGTCTCTCTCTTTCTCCTTTGCTCATTTGTTTTGTTTCTTAAATTCCACATATGAGTGAAATCCTGGTATTTGTCTTTCTCTGACATATTTCACTTAGCGTAATACTCACTAGCTCCATCTGTGTTGTTGCAAATGGCAAGATTTCATTCTTTGTTATGGTTGAGTAATATTCCCTTGTATGTATGTAGCACATCTTCTTTATCCACTCATCTACCCGTGGACACTTGGGCTGCTTCCATAATTTGGCTATTGTGAATAATGCTGCTATAAACATAGGGGTGCTAAGAGTGTCAAAGTTAATCTCAAATTATCCCATAGAATTTTAGGAACTTCAGAAGCTGGTACAAAAGTTCAACATGAGTTGAAGTGCAAGGAATGATTTTGGTGGGGAGGATAGTTATAGGGCTGTGCTGCCTTGTAAGCGGCTGAAGACTTAGGTCCCACCTGCCCCAGGGCGGCTATGTCTATCTCAGGACCACACAGCCCTTGTGTAAGTGCTCATGGTGGTCATGCACAAGGAGCTTTCGGCTACAGAAAATGCATTTTGTGTATACGGATTTTTGCCATAACTACTATGCTCAGGAAATCCCTGAGAATCACAGAGCCCCTGTCTGTGAGGTTGTCTCCACAACCAGTGACCAATCCCTGGCTCCCATTCTGAGGGCATCGGTCATTCTGTTTTCTGAGTGATCTTTAGTGATCTTTATCTCTTCTTAGAATTTCGTTTGAGAAAAAGACAGAAGTACCTTTTAATTTGGACTGAGATTAGATTGCAGGCTGGCCTGTTTGGCATTGTCTTCTGTGCCTTATTTGGATAGTTGCTAAGGAAACTAGGGAGTAGTCTTCCCCTGGTTCTTCACCTGGTTTTAGAAATGACTCTCTTATCGTCAGGATTTTGCTTTTATCCATACTTATGCTCTTAATGTTTTTTCTTGAGATCTTTTACTCCATAGAGTATACTCTTTGGTACACCTCACCTTAGGTCCTCCTAAGCTAGGCTTTTTATCTAAAAGCAATATTGAGGTACTTGTCTTGGAGAGCCGTGGCCTCACATCTGGGGCAGCCTAATCAACAGAGGGTGCCGCGGGCCCGGCTGCCGGTGGCTGAGTCAACAGAGGTGTGACGGCTTTACGTGCCATTCTTCCCTCCCCTTTACTGCTATCTCTGCAAGATACCATGTATGACTTGTGGTATTTACGTTCTTGGAGATAAAAAAAAAAAACAACTGACGTCTTTTGTCCCATTCTAATCTTCTCTGCTTCCGGAATTAATCGATGACATCATTTTGCAGAATCAGAGAAAGATCTTCGATACATTGGCAAAATTTTGGATGGATTTTCCTTGGCTTCTAAACCCTTATCGTCTAAAAAAGTAAGGAAAAAAATTTTGTTTATTTATTTATTTTATGCTTTAGTACTTAAAATATTCGCTGCTAGGTGACCTGAATTATTATGTTAACAACTGAAAAGTAAGTGAATTCTGTTTTCAGAAAGCAACAGCATAATTATTAGTGATTGTCCAGGAAAACATGTTCTGCATTAGAAATGTCAGTAATCACATTGTATCCAAAATATCTAACTGCTAATCTTTTTTTTTAAAAAAATTTTTTTTTTCAACGTTTATTTATTTTTGGGACAGAGAGAGACAGAGCATGAACGGGGGAGGGGCAGAGAGAGAGGGAGACACAGAATCGGAAACAGGCTCCAGGCTCTGAGCCATCAGCCCAGAGCCCGACGCGGGGCTCGAACTCACGGACCGCGAGATCGTGACCTGGCTGAAGTCGGACGCTTAACCGACTGCGCCACCCAGGCGCCCCTAAAAAAATTTTTTTAATGTTTATTTATTTTTGAGGGAAAGAGACAGAGTGTGAGTCGGGGAGGGGCAGAGAGGGAGGGAGACACAGAATCCAAAGCAGGCTCCAGACTCTGAGCTGTCAGCACAGAGCCTGACGCGGAGCTCGAACTCATAAACCGCAAGATTGTGACCTGAGCTGCAGTCTGATGCTCAACCGACTGAGCCACCCAGGTGCCCCTAAATTGCTAACTTTTTAAATCCAAGTTTTAAGTAAATGGTTATTTCCATTAAAAAAAGAATTACATTAGAAACTGGTGGGAAAACGGAATTGGTATAATTCCAAGGGCAATGTAACTTAAGGAAAAGTAGAAAATTTTAAGTCAGAAAAGCCCCCATTGCTGCCTCCTCCTGAGTGCAGGGAAGAGTGTTGGCCGGTGTGGACAGGGTTCCTCGAACTCCTTGTCTGGGCAACAGAAGGAAGAGAGGCTGCGTGCATGCAGGTCAGGTCCCATGGAGAGCTCCACATGCCTTTCCAGATAGTCCTGTTTTTTCGTGAGGTCATTGTGCAGCTTGGGCCAAGTGGTAATTTGTCTCTGACCCCCATCAGAGCCACGTCCCCACAGGCAGGCATCACTGGGTGATGGTGCTGGCAGCTCAGGTGAGGCTCCTGGCCATTCGCCTTGTTGGCATCCCTTTTTTAGATTGTTCCATCCTTTAATTTGCTCTCTTTTTGTATTCAGCAAATGTCTGTTAAGTGCCTTTGTGGCTTGGCCCGTGGTTCTTCAGAAGAGGGGAGGCAGGGGCAGTGCCGCCTGAAACACCACATTCGGTGTTACAGCAGCTTTGATTTGTTTAGTCGTGAAAATGTTGTAACAGCGAGCAGAATATATTCAGAACAGCTTTGGGCACATGGTAAACTGATGCTTTTACCAGAAATGTCAAGTAACGTCAAAGGACGATGCTAGTTTTTTACATGTATGAGAGCATAAAAAAGGCTGAGAAGTACTCGCTTGACTCAGGGCTTGAGGACTCACTTCCTCCAGGACTAAGTCCTGGCCCCCAAGGACAGCCTATTCCTGTGGGGGTGCCAGATGCACAGATTCACTGCAGTGAGGCAGAGGGCTGTATGTGGGGAGGCAGACGTCGGGGGTTCCTGAGGTGCAGCTTGCTGGAATAGCGCTCCGCGTGGGAACAGTTCAGAGAAGGGCTATGTTCACTTAGCCTTTCACAGGCAAGTATTCTACATATGGGCTCAAAACCCAGCCTCTTTATCCAGAGGCCAAACAGAACGTGATTTAGCGGAGGGAGTGGGATGCTTTGAATCCAGTGGAGGATATTAATAAGAGTTGTGGCCGCGCACCCCCTCCCCTTTCTGCCACGCTCCTCTGGATTCGGGTGTCGCGGCCACATAGGAGTGTTTGCCGACTACTGATCTGGAAGTCCGTATGTTCAGAGGAGGTGGTTGGGCTAAGGCGATAAACAGTGAGATGTCCTGGCAGTGACACTAGCATTCTGCTGCAGGCTGTCACTGTGCTGGGTGCTTCCCTAGGCTGCGTAGTTCAGCCACCTGGGCTGCTTGGGAGACCCCGCCTGGCGCCAGCTTTGTGGGGTGGGATGCGGACGTCACTGTTGTCAAACCCTCTGTGAGCCCCGGAGCCACAGCCGGAGAGCATTCGGTGCTTCACTGGTTACGGAGCTCAGGGTTTCAAGTAGCGGAAGAATCTAGAAAATGGCTTAAATGAGACTGTCCATAAATACATGCTTGTTAGACTCAGAGCAAGGGAGACCTTTCTGTGCAGTAATTTAAAAGTGCGGTATACTTTCTTTTAATGTATCTGTTCTATCATCATCTGTGCCTGAATTTCTCAGATATATTTCAATTTCAATTCAGTCAGCTTTTGAATTAAAAATACCTCAGATCAAAAAAGTAAGTCCTGAAACTCTAATTTGGAACTGAAATGTAACCAGAAAAATAATTCTGAATGGAAAAATAACTTATTTTAAGTAATTATGTCTTTTCTAAGCCTTGAATCATACTTTTCTAAGTTTTCTAATTTATAGTAGGCCAGTTCTGCATGTGGGCCGATACGTTGTGTTACCTACTGTCATCTTTCTTGTCACATAACGCATGCATATTGGCAACTGTCTGCAGAAGTGGGCAGGGGTAACATTCAGGATATGTGGCCATTGGAACAGTAGAGTCCCGGTGACCCTCCAGATCCAGAATGGATGTTGGCTAGACATCTGGAGAGGCTGTTCCCAGTGCGACCCTCCTGCTGGATGTTGGCCTGGCAAGGGCAGGGTTCACAACACTCATGGGTTATGGGTTCTCTTGGGTAAGTCAAACATGGTCATCTTACAGCCTGTCTTTTCTGAGTTTTGTGGGTTTTTTTTTGTTTTTGTTTTTTTTTTTTAAGACCTACCCACCGCCTGAATTGCCGAGAGACTATCGACCGGTGCATTATTTCAGACCTGTGGTAGCTGCAACCTCAGAGAACACCCACTTAGTCCAGGTATTGTCAGAGTCAGCTGGGAAGCCAATGCCTGACCCAGGGACACACAGTAGGCACCAGCTGAATGCCTCCAAGCGGGCGGAGTTGCTGGGAGAAACTCCCATTCAAGGTATGCGCCACAGAGATTAAGAACATTACATTGATAGTAATTGGGGTTATCAAAATCAAAACGGAAAGTTGTTTTCTCAGTGACACTTGGTACATGACTGAGTATTCCCACCCTCTGAGAACAAAATTGTTCCTTGTGAGCAGCACACATAGCAGTGTACGTATCCTTTATTTCTTAAGACTTGTTTTCTAACACAAGTTTGGGTTGTGCCATTGAAATCGCAGCTCTTGTCTTGAACTCAGTGGTTTTCAGACTTGTAATAATTGTCCAGGAATGTGGTGCAGATCAGGGACGCCGGTGCCCTCGCTGTCCCTGCACAGCCTGAGAATGTGTGATTTTTTTTTCCTCAGGGGAAAGGGGACTGTAGCTCTTTCCCGAAAGCCTAAAAGGGACGAGTGCATCTGAAAGTGTGGACAAGTGTGGAGAATCCCCTCTAGGCTGGCACAGAAAGACCCACTGTGAGAGGTGAACTGGGACTTGCCATTCGGGAGCCCAATAGATACCTCAAATACAATAGACCAGAGCGGAAGTCTCGGTTCCCCACTTCCTTTTCCAGGCCCGCTCTTCCTCTGGTCTTCTCCTTGTCAGTGAATGATGCCACCAGTGATCCGCTGCTTAGACCAGAACGTAGGAATCCTGATTCCTGCCCACCCACGTCCATCAGCAGGCCCTTTCAGCGCTGTCCCCAACACACTGGGGACGCCATCATGTCTCTGCCTTTCGGCTGCTTCCAGCCTGGAGTGAGCGCCCGCCCTCTTTCGCCCGGACTGTTGCAGAGCCTCATTATCAGCCTCCTTTTCCCGCCTTCCCGTCTGCAGTCCCTTCCCCTCAACAGCAGCCGGACGAACCGAATGATATCACTGCCCTTCTTTAAACAGTCCAGTACTTCTCACATTGAAGACAAATGCAGACTCCCCACCAGGCTACGGGATCCAGTCTTGCCTTCTTTTCAAGCCATATCCGCTCTCCCTTAACCCCCTGAGGTCTAGCCTTGTGATCCTGCCTCCCGCCCTCTGACCCCGCCCACTGCGATATACTACATCGGGGCCTTGATGTTCACCATCTCCTCTGCCTCTGCTCTTCCCTTCTACTTCGGCTTCTTTTACTTAACTCACCACAAATATTATCTCTTTGGAGGCACCTTCCGGGCTTCCCCTGCCCCGTCACATATGCTAGTGATTCCCTGCTCCCCCTCCCAGCCCTCACCTCTAGGTCCCCCTCAGTCATGTCAGCCTGTTTCCTTCGTGGTCTTCCTCTCGTAGCCATCCTCTGGTGTTGTTGACTTTGGGTTTCTCTAATTCCCATGCCCCCATGTAGGGGAGCGGGACTTTGTCTCCGGTGTCCTCCCGGCCCAAGACAGTGCTCAGTGGGTGCTATGACAGGAGTGAATGCTGCAGGGGCAGCTGGCTCTGAACCGGGGCTTGTGCCCAGTGGGACTGTGGAGGTGGCGGCTGCCTCAGGCTGGAGGTCCGGAGCCTGGAATGTCAGCTTCCTTGTTCTAGGACCACTCACTCACCTGATAAACATCCAAGTACTGACCTCCATTTTTGCCAACTGTAAAATAGGAGTCATGTTATTTTCACTGTCTAGTTCCCAGGGATAATACGAGTACAGATGAAAAACTAAGACACTCTAATTACGTACATTTGTGATATTGCGCATGTATGTACCACAGAAATGTCACTATGGTTGTCTTACGGTACTTTTCATTTCTTCCATATTACTGTTTTTTTTTTTTTAGGTTCATCTACTTCAGTGTTAGAGTTTCTGTCCCAAAAAGATAAAGAGAGAATCAAAGAAATGAAGCAGGCAACTGACCTTAAAGCAGCTCAACTCAAGGCCAGGAGTCTGGCCCAGAAGGCCTCAAGCAGCAGACCCCAGCCTTCCTCTCCGGACGTGGGGACCTGCTCGTGGCACATGGCATTGAGTGGTGGGACAGCTGCCACGAGAGCCAGCAACTTCAAACCTTTCGCAAAAGATCCAGAAAAGCAAAAACGATACGAAGAGTTTTTAGTACATATGAAACGGGGTCAGAAAGGTGGGTGCTGGGCCTGGGTCTCCCACCTCTCAGCCAGCGGAAGCAGTCTTGCCGTTCTGGCCCTTGTCCCAGATTGAAAGTTGAAGTACCCCACTCTGCCGGTGTTTTGCTTTGTCCTGCTGCAAACAGTGCAAAGATTTTAGTGCCTGGCTCTTGACCTCAGAAAGTAGGAGCAAGCAGCTTGTGTTTCTCCATATCTCAAGTCCCAAAGATAGCTGTTGACGTAGAGAACATGGCTTGGCAGTGGCTACTGCTAAACTACAGACCATTTACTGTGTGCAGATGCCTGCCTTCTGTAAGTGTTGCATTTCACACCAAGAGAACAAGGTCATCTCCCACTTTGTCTTAAAATCCTAATCATCCAGCCCTAAATCATGGCCTAAAAATTGATTTAAAAAGCTAGTTGGCTGTTGAACCATTACAAGGGGGGAAAAATCACTCTGTGATCTACGGAGTAAATACAGCCAGACTGAGGAGAGGGATTACGGTTATTCATAGCAGTTCTCGTGAGCGTCGTCAGCAAATCGGAGGAGTCGGTTTTCGAAAGCAGACCTAAGAACCCACCCCCAGTGTTTATTTATTAAATTAAAAAAACCCAAAAGTTAGAAAAAGGAGTGTTTTTCTGCCAAGACTTAGGAATATAGTTAGGATGAACTTATCACTGTCCCGGAGTGGTAGCAAGTTCCTGGCTTCAAAGATTTGTTTTGTTTTGTTTCGCTTTGTTTTGTTTTGTTTTGAGAGAGAAAGAGAGAGGGCGCAAATGAGCGAGGGGCAGAGAGGGCGGGGAGGCAGAGAGAGAGCATATAGCTGGGTTCACCCAAAGCGGGGCTCATGTTCACCCGGAGTGGAGCCTGAGCTCACCTGATGCGGGACTGAAACTCATGAAACTTGAGATCGTGACCTGAGTCAAAGTCAGATGTTTGACCGACTGAGCCACCAAGGCGCCCCTGGCTTCGAAGATTTAACTGAGCATGAGTCCCCAAATGTTTTTCTCTGTTCTGTGTGGTAGACAGAATTCAATAAAAGCATCATGTTGAGGGGGAGAGCGATATAACCTGACAGGTACTCCCCGCCATGCTCTTACAAACCAGGGTACAGATTTGTGGCCTCTCTGGTAAAATCTACAGAGACACAGTGGGACCCACCGGGTGTTCTTCTCTAAGCCCTACGTTTTTCCTAAGAGTGAAGCAGGTTCTCATTCCTTGTACCATAGATGCCCTGGAACGTTGTCTGGACCCCAGTATGACAGAATGGGAGCGAGTCCGCGAGCGGGATGAGTTTGCTCGGGCAGCCCTGCTGTATGTGTCTTCCCATTCGACCTTGTCCTCCAGGTTCACACATGCCAAGGAGGAGGACGATTCAGATCAAGTGGAAGTCCCTCGAGACCAAGAGGTCTGTCACCATCACATCCCTACCTGATGAACTGTAAAATTCAAACAAATATTTTAGATCCCTCAGTGGAATGATCAGAATATATGTGGCATTATAGAATAAGAATGATTTATGCCTTTAGCACAGTGGCGCAGCATAAGCACTGTTTGGAAATTTTGGAAGGTTGCTTGAAAGCTTTTCAGTGAAAGAACACTCAGGGCGGTGGTGTGACCGCTTGATGAAACAGAATAAATGTCTTTTCCCAGAATGATGTCAATGACAAGCAGTCGGCTGTGAGGATGAAGATGTTTGGGAAGCTTACCCGAGACACATTTGAGTGGCATCCTGACAAGCTGCTGTGTAAGAGGTTTAATGTCCCTGACCCTTATCCAGAGTAAGTTGGATAAACCTGTCCTCACATCGGTACTCCTTCCCCCATATTAAAGTTAACTCTCCCCCTAACCTATTCATATAAATTCCCTTTTTCTAGATGAATTTACTTGTAAATGCTTGGAGTTGCAAATTTTGCAGATTTAACTTCTATTAATTTGTTACTAAAAAAAAAAAATAATAATAATAATAATAAGCAAACATCCAGAAAGAAGACTTTATTCTCTACCAAAGATGTGAAATTCAGATATGTCAAGTTACAAAAACTTAATGCTGGTCTGATTTGCCACCTTTTTAATAATCACATATAGTTTACATTTAGAATATTACTTACACTAATTCTTTATAAAAGTTCGACACTTAAATTGAATCTGAGGTTTTGTCAGAAAATTTAGGTATATTTTTAGCAGTGGAGCTTTTCCTTCATGGGAATACATTTTCAAAGTTAAATTCTAGCTCTTACTATAATAAGGGAAACCTCGTGGGCCCTAACATCAGCCAATCCAAATTCTTAAACTGCTTGGAGAAGCGCAATCACCTTCAGGGACCTCTTAGCAAAGAGAAGAGCTAGTGGTGAAAAACACAAGACGGAAAACTTCACACGAACTAGATGTTATCCTCACAGTTGTTATTTGAAATTACATATATGTGTTTTCTTTTCACCCCGCAGTTCAACTTTGGTTGGCTTACCAAGAGTGAAACGTGACAAATACTCAGTCTTCAACTTTCTGACACTCCCAGAGACTGCTTCCTCACCTGCATCTCAAGCAGCGAGTGAAAAAGGGCCACAACACCAAGGTCCTGACAGTGAGTGGGGCTTCCTCGGGCCCATGGCTGACCATGGTTTCAACCCCGATCCTGTTGGAAAGTCTTCGGGGTACACACGGTGTGAGCTCTCCCTCCATTAAGGGAATCGCTCATATGAACACATTAGCGCGTGTTGTAAGAGTCCAGACGTATACTGTTTGGGGTTGGGGCTCTGCCTCAGCACCTGCCATGTTCCCGACACGTTGCACCATGCCTGGCCCACAGTAGGTCTGCTGGTGTTCTTGAATGAATGAAAGAGCTGGAATGGAGAGCTTACCTTTTACTTGCCACATTCTGATATTACGTCTATGTCCTCCCACCTTTCAGAATCACGAAAACCATCGCGATGGGATACATCTAAACAAGAAAAGAAAGAAGATTCCATTAGTGAATTTTTAAGTTTGGCTAGATCAAAAGTTGGCCCACCTACACAAGAGTCCAGCCCTTTAGTCATCAAAGAGGAAGAACATGTGACGGAGTCACTCTCCGATAAGGTATCTGTGGCTTCCAGGTTCTCTTTGCCAGGCTGACTGGGGCGTTTGCCTTTCTCTGTGATGGTGCTTTGTCATCACTTGATAGGAGGTGTCTGCCAGCTTTCTGAGAAGGGCCAGATAGTAAATATTTTAGTCTTTGTGGGCCATATAGTCTCTATTGCAGCCACTCAACTCTGCTGTCAAATGGGAAAGAAATCACAGGCAATATGGAAAAAAATTGGGTTCATCTGTGTTCCAATAAAACTTTATTTACAAGGCAGACAGTGGGTTGGATTTGGCCCAGAGGCTGTAGTTGCCAGCACCTGCTCTACATTACAGTAGTTTCAATCATGTCTTTGATCATATGAGGAAAGGTATAAACTTCTTTGCCAGGGATGGCTTTCACTTAGCATCAGCCATTGAAATAAAATTCACTGTGTTTTCTTTTGTGGGGAGTATAAACAAAATATCCATTGGCTTTGTAAAAAATTGCTGGTCTAATAGTTGAAAGTTGAATTTAATAAAAAGTTAGTTTTACTTCTTTTTTTTTAAAAAAGAAATCAGTCAAGTATGGACATCTCGCTTAATAAAAACTTACTTTACAGAAACTGTAAAGGAACTTACTTTCTTAGAACATTAATCTATAAGCTAGGAAATAGCACTGCAGATCTTTAGAGAATTTGAGTGTTTTGTGTTGCCTTTTTTTTTTTTCTTTCTCTGAAATTATCAAAAAGTTGGTTTTATTTCTGATAGCCTCATTTAAAATTATCTTTTAAAGGAACATGCATTAAAATGTGCAGTTCGGTGAGTTTTTATACAGATACAGATTTGTGGAACCACACCACAATCAGGATGCAAAATGGTACCGTCACCCCAAAAAACTCCCTCATGCTGTCCCTTTCTAGTCATACCCTCCCCTCCCTGCAAAACCCCCATCAACCATTGATCTCTTCTCTGTATCTATAGTTTTGTTCTTTTCAAAATATTACGTAAATGGAATCAGACAATATACGTATATAACTTTTTGAGACTCATACCTTTGAGATTCATCAGTATCATATTATCTTTTTATTTCATAATTTTATTAGTGTTTTATTATTTTTTTATTTTAGAGAGAGAGCGCGAGCAGGAAGAAGGGCAGAGAGAGAGAGAGAGAGAGAATCTTAAGCAGGTTCCACACTCAGCAGAGAGCCCAACAAGGGCTCCCCACGACCCTGGGACCCCACGACCCTGGGATCATGTCCTGAGCCGAAGTAAAGAGTCAGAGATTCAACCGCCTGACCCACCCAGGCGCCCCCCATTTTTTTTTAAGTTTGTTTATTTAGAGAGTGTGTGTGGGGAGGGACAGAGAGAGAGAGAAGTCCATGTAGGCTCCTCACCGTCAGCCCAGAACCCAATGCCGGACTTGAACTCACAAACTGTGAGATCATGACCTGGCCAAAGTTGGACACTTAACCGACTGAGCCACCCAGGTGCCCCATTAACTATTTTGTTAATGATTGCTCTATCATATACATGCTTACTTTCTCACAATTTAATTGGAATTGATATTTTACCACGTCAAGTGGAATATAGAATCTCTACCACTCTGTAGGTCCCTTCACTCTCCAGCTTTATGATGTTGCCTTATGTATTATGTGCACATGTGCTGAAAACCTCATGAGACAGTGTTTTAATTTTTGCTTCCACTTGTTGGACATGTTTAAAGAACTGGTGAGATGACAGTCCGTTTTATTTACTTGGATATTTACCATTGCTGTTGCTCTTTCTTCCTTCCTGAAGTGCCAGCTCTCCCTCCTATCATTCCCTGTCTGAGGGACTCCCCTTACTTAGCAGTTCTTTTAGAGAAGTTCCAACTCGAGAGGGCAGTTCTCTTAATTTTCCTTCATCTGAGAATGTGTGTGGTTTTTTTTAAATTTTTTTTAACGTTTAGTTATTTTTGAGACAGAGAGAGACAGAGCATGAACAGGGGAGGGGCAGAGAGAGAGGGAGACACAGAATCTGAAACAGGCTCCAGGCTCTGAGCAGTCAGCACAGAGCCCGACGCGGGGCTCGAACTCACGGACCGTGAGATCGTGACCTGAGCTGAAGTCGGACGCTTAACCAACCGAGCCACCCAGGCGCCCCTGAGAATGTGTGTTTTGTCTGCATTCCTAAAGGGTGTTTTTGCCAGATACAGAATTCTGGGTCAACAGGACTTTCCTTTTAACCGTTTACGAATGTTGTACCACTTCCCTCTGGCCTTCCTGCTTGCCGATGAGAAATTTAGTTATTCGACGTGTTCCCCTCCTTAGAATGATGTGATTTTTCCTCTGGCTGCTCAAGATTTGTACTTTGTCCTTGGTTTTTGCTGTTTGGTTATGATGTATCTGAGTGTGGGTTTCCTCAAGAGTCTTTTGTTTGGGGTTTTGCTGAGCTTCCTGAATCTTGTTTTTCACCAGATCTGGGACGTTTTCAGCCATTATTTTCTCTGCTCCACACTCTCACTCCCCTCCTGTAACTCTGATGACATAAATGTTAGACTTTTTGATATTGGCCCACAGGCCTCTTTTTGGTCTTTTTCTCTCTCTCTGTTTAAATCAGATCATTTCTATTGATCTGTCATCAAGTTCATTGACTCTTTCTTCTGTCATGTCTGTTCTGCTGTTATTATGAGCCCATCTAGTGAATTTCTTATTTTGGTTATTGTATTTTTCATTTCTAAAATCCTCATTTGGTTCTCCTTTATATCTTTTCTTTATTTGCTGAGACCTTTTCATCTTTCTGTCTGTTTGGCCGTATTCTTGGAGCATGCTTATAATAGCTGCTTTAAAGTCTGCCACATAATTCCAACATTTTTATCATTTTGGGGTTAGCGTCTATCAATTGTCTTTTGCCAGTTGAGGTTTTCCTGATTGGTTGTATACCAAGTAATTTTGGATTGCATCCTGAACATATTGACATTTTGGACATTATGTTATAAGACCTTAGGTCTTGTTTGTTTGTTTATTTATTTTTTAATATATATAATTTATTGTCAAATTGGTTTCCATACAACACCCAGTACTCATCCCAAGAGGTGCCCTCCTCAGTGCCCATCACCCCCTTTTCTCTCTCCCCCACCCCCCATCAACCCTCAGTTTGTTCTCAGTAT